ACCAATTGTCTTTTCTTCCCTTAGCCTGAATCATTGTCTAGAACAACAGGATATACACTTGAAAGCCTCAAGCCTTGTCTTACAGACCTTCACAAGACCTACCTCAAAGCAGCACAACACACGCAACAGTCCATAAGAGAGAAATACAAGAGTGCAAAGTAAGTATCTACAAAAAATGAGTTATTTACATATTCAAGTAATTGCAACAGGTGTTGAGGGCAGGGGCGGGCAATTATTTTGGTTAGAGAGCCGCTTACTGAGTTTTGGCAAGCCATCAAGGGGTGCATGATAGGCAGCCCAGGGTAGATTAATATTAACTTTCTAAAATTTTTAGGGGGCCCACCCCTGTGTTTTTAAGCCATGTTAGCTTGGCTTGGGTATTAAGCCACCTTGGCAGAAGGCAGGGCAAGATAGCACCTCAGTCTGTTTGGAGGGTGGGGAGGGAGAACAGTGACATCTGGGTCAATTCAGTTTGCAGCCTTAAGCTGCTGACAGTTGCTATGTAAGCACTTGGTTAGCAGACTGTTACCTAAGGAAACTCATGCCTGTCTGAACCAGTTAATCATTAAGGTCCCGCACTCTGCCTAACCAGTATAGTGAACCTAACTCTGAGTAAGTAGAGCCAATGCCTGTCAGAGCGCACAGAGGAATGATGAGTGTCCATACAGTGGTCTGGGAGGTTTTTGGGAAGTTTTTTTTTTGTTGGTGTTTTTTTTTAATGTGAACTAGCCCCATTGAAAAAGGATCTAGTGTCCTGTGTCTACCTTAATGTCACCACCCAGAAGTTGAGACCAGTAGAGCAGTGTTTCCCAACTTTTTCCAGCCCAAGACACACTTGCATTAAGAAGAAAAAACAACAATTCCATAGTAGACCTGCCAAGGCATTCCCCACCCTCATACCTATTGTAGCTCATGGCCATGGCAAAATTCCATGGCGCACCTGTTCATTTCTGATGGCACTTTTTTTGTGCCATGGCGCACTGGTTGGGAAACACTTCAGTAGAGAATGGCTAGGTGAAATGCTGACCTGTTTACACAGGAGGGGACAAATGTTATAGTTCCTGTTTTGATTCTATATTAAACAAGCTTCTAACCCCACAACACTGAATACCTTTCTGGTTCTACTGTGTCACAAAGTTGTAACCCAGTGCAGGATTAATGAACCTTTCAGCTTTATCCCCCTTTGTTGGAGCGCTAATGAAATTACCTTTTGCCCTTTTCTCCTCCAGGTATCATGGAGTATCGCTCATTGACCCACCAGAGACACTAAACCTATTGTAACAATCAAGGGACTGATGTTTATTTTTCTTTTTTTAATATATTTTTTTAAGATGTGCATTTACTCTTCCAAGGAAATGATGTACAGTTTTAAACCTTGTTCAAAATTTTAGGCTTCCAATCATCATTTCAGATTAGATCTGAAGTTCATTTCAGATTATGAAGTTTGTTTTTATAGGGTTTTAATGTAAATCCTTTGTGCAAAAAATCTTGTTCAAAATACTTAGCTGGAGCTCTTTTCTAGAAAACTGTTCTATTCAAGTTTTAAATTTAACCATGCAGACCAACTGTTTAATCTGAGACTTTAGACATTTTATCCTAAAATGATTAGAGAAAGCATCGGAGTAAACGGCACATGGAATAAAATGAGTAAGAGCAGTGAAGTGCGGGAATTCCAACTTCCGCAGTGGTCATGTTTTGTCTCAAGTTCTAGTGAACCATTTGAACAACAACAGTATCTGTAGCATCTCTTGCTAACACTACATTCTAGTATTGCTTTGGACTTGGATTAAATCTAAACGGGCTTTAATAGCAGTCATGCTGGACAAAATATCTAAACTACTTGGAAGATAAAACTTGGCTGAAATACTGAAGCATCCCAACCTTGCCTTTTTTTATGGGAGAACATTGAAGTCCATTTTTCAGGGTTATGTTCTAACATCGCTAACGTTCTAGTATTGTCAGTTTGTGTTTTACATGCTTGGAAGTTGCCATTAGCCCACTAAAACTGTGAGCTCCATGTCATAAGTTTCTCACCTTATGGTGTAGGAAATGGTTCAACTTAATTATTCTAGTCTGTATGATTTTTATATGAAATCCATACAGGTCTACTACTAAAAATGTTAGCTTCCATAAAAAGTTTATTTACAGCTAATGTATGACAGTGCTCTTGTACTGCTTGAGCAGAACCCAGCTGGGAAAAGTAAACTATAAAGGGGTGAGAGACCAGCCACTAGATGCACCACCTTCCTCTTTAAAAGAAGACGGTACAAGTGGCCAGCACGGCTTGATTTTTATGATGTGTTGTGGGTGTAGGGATACTAGTTCATTGGTCCTTCACTCTTCCTGTAAGTAGGTCTGTCTTGGCACCTAATCAAAATAAGTTCTTGTTTTCTTCACTTTGGTAGAGCACCTTTTTAATACCATAAAATGACTAAATCAGTGTTAGGGCAAATATAAACTGACCTCAATCTGTGAATCTGTAACACTGCTTTATTAACTAGTTGCTTGGTATGTAAAGCAGTGACTGCATGGAAATGGATTTGGGTATACCAGGTTGCCAAATAAACATCCTGTTACTGGACCTAATGTCAGTGGTGGTCTCTTGCCTATATTCTCACTTGATAATGGCAGCTGACTCTATCCTAAATCTGTATCACTAGGCTTCGATTCAAAGCTAGTGCTACTTAGTGTCCTTAGTACACTGTAGGTATATAACAGAAGTGGATAAGCATGTTTGCTTTGCCATGAGAACTGGTATGTAAAAACAATTCCTGACCACTTTGTTTTTGTTTCAGTGTAACTCATTCCAGAAATCTTTGCTCCGATGCATGTGGGCATACTTTGTCTAAACATGATGATGCTGGCTTTGATGCATCTAAAAAATGAGAGCCAAGGCATGTCAACTTGAAGCATTTCAAACAGGGGAAACTGGCACGGGGCATGTTGTCCAGAAGCTGGGTTTTGCAGCCTAGGCAGAAAGAGGTCATGCAGCTGTGCCCATCTCAGCAAGATCTAGAAAGTGGGGAGAGCTAAACCACCAGCCTGGGGAAAAGCTTCACCTCTACCATATCACGCTGAGGACCTAAGTATGTTAACTTTAGCTGCTGTCACTTAATTGTCTAATAGCCATATAACCAGGTGGCATATGGCCTTCATAAACCTATTATTTCTGCTTAATTTTATCACTTCTGCCAAAAGACTATAGATGCATCAAAAGTTTAAGTTTCATACTTGCCAGGTTTTTTTGTTTCCTTCCTCTAGCAAAGCCCTTTTTAAGTGCTTGTACTGGCATAAATAACCAGTGTCTTTGCTGAGGAAGCAAAAGTATGCTTTCCTTCTGTGATCAATACAGGAAATAAGCACTAGTAGCCTCTTTCACTTCTGGAAGAGAAATCAAACATAGTGCAGTCAATTCTTAGAGGGAGTATCCTTTGATATTATTGCATTAATCAGTGCATAAAGACTTTAAATTTGAATGGCTGTACAGTTGATCCTACAAAGCTGAAAATATCTGCTGCTTGTTCCAGTGTTTTTGACAGTAGCAGAACAAGAGCTGTTCTTGGAATCCCAATGCTTCAGGGCACAAACCCTTCTTCCACTGATAACTGTCAATAGCAGTGGATTGCCTCATACTTTGAAGGCTGCTGGAATTGGCTTTTTCCCTCAATAGTCTTTCATAGTTCACAATGTTGCCCTACTTCTAACACCACACTGATAAGCCCATCTCTTACTGCAGTGGGTACTGCTCTATGATTTTTCTTACCTTCACAATTAAAGTTATTCTCAGCAGTTCTCAGTATCTGCTGTTGCCTCCCTCAAGCTTAAGGCAGAGCTTTACCAACACCTGCAGTAGACATGCCATAATTTGTGCTGTATAGAAAACTGCTGTTTCTAGAGCCAGTATCTTCCAGGCTTTTATCCAAAAAAGTGTGTGCGCATATGCATACACAATGTAGTCTCAGGGCTGCAAAAGCAATGGGATCGCTAAAGGAGAGAGCATGAAGGTGGCTATTACAAAATGAACTTTATGCAAGAGGAAAGGGCAACATGATGCACTGCAAACACATAAAAGGGGCAACATCCGGGATTTCCTTAAGACCAGAATATACATCCTTTAAATGAACTAAGAGCTCTGGCAAGAAGCACTTTTCTATGTTATATTTGAAAGTTAGGGGCAAGATTAGTTAAGCAACTATTTCCCTTACAAAGTACTAGTGTCACAGAACAGCTCAAATGGGGAAGAGTAAGACCTTGTGTAAATTATTTCTACTCTGCTGTTGTGTATATTTTCATGTTTGTGTTTCATCACGTTTTGAGTACTCGGACAAAGCATCTGAGGTCAACTTGTCCATGAAAGTTTGTTCATATTACTTCTTTCAAGTGGTCCGGTGTTTAGAAACTTTTTTGTACTTGAAGGAACTTTTACATGTCTCATGTAATATGTTTACTGAAATTTTTTAAAAAAAAATAAACATTAACAAAAACTATGGGGAAGTCTCGTATAGCTGCTTACAAGTTTGGGGGAAGCTCTTTCAAACAGAGTGATTTTTCACATGTTGGCATCATTCCTGCTAGGAAAGCAACAGAAACTTCTCCAGAAAGGCCTCATCTGTCTTAAGTGACATAAGGCCTCATCTATAATCACCCATGTTCTTAATGAGATCACTAAAGGGCCAAGCTGGATTCTAACAGCAAACTCTCCAATGCCTAGAAGCTGGCAAAGAAGAACTTTTCTTATTATGTAGTCCATCTAATAAAAGATGCTATGTTTACCCAAAGAACCTTGTCTACTTCTGTCCTTAGACCAGCACAACTACAACCAACAGCCCTATCAAACCAACTTGCAAGGGGAGAGTACAAGTGCAGATCTGTGCTAACCTGGAGTTAAGGGTCAGTCCATTTTTTGGTATATGGTGCTATCTACATCTTTTACTGAACAGCTGCTATCACAGTAGTGTTCAAACTGTAAAACTATGACAGCCTATTTAGTACTACCATAGTATTTCACTTAAATACTGAGTTTTCCTTTTATTGGAAGGCAATGTACAACATTATATACAAAAAAACAAAGATAATTTGGAAGTGGGGGAGAAATTGACCTACAAAAATATGTTCAGTATCTTAGTATACAAATTAAAGATTTATACAAGGCTTAAAATGGAACGTGATTTTAATGAGAAACTCTCTTCTTTTTTCTCTTTTTGTTACTGGCTTTTTTACTTGAATTTTCTTGTTTGGAGTTGGTAGGTTTTCTGTGAACAAAACATTCAAATCCAAAATTAGACTATTTCATATGATGGAGTTAAACCAACACTTATTTCAGCTCTGATGTAACATTAGCCAAAACCACCATGCATATGGTGCTTTACACAGAATAAGACACAAAAGGGTTAAGGGCAACTGCCATCCAGACTATCTGGTTCTCAGCAAAATCAGTCCACACTGATTAAATAAATCATAGCAGACTTTTCTAAATAGGAATAAAACTAGGTTTACTGCCTTTAACACTTTAGTCACTAAGTCCACTAGATATTATTGATAAACAACCATCTACTACTTGGGCAGATTCTGTGCAATGCTATATACAGTAATAGACTAAAAATATAGTTGACTGAGCTGTAGAGGCAGCTGTTTCTAAATCAACCTTTTTGTTCCCTCCTGGATAACGGAAATATCCAAATATCCATTCTAAATTGCACCTGCTGGAGCAGTTCCACAAGCACTTTAGGAGTCAGCGATCAACAAGGATGCACTGACTTCATGACTATAAAAAAAGGCACATGCCAGGTAGAGACAAAAAAAGGAAGATTTCCTTGCATCAAAAGCTCCTGCCTATCTATTTCAGCAGTGCAAAAATACTTCAATAGGGAGATGTGGCAGTTCTCAGCAAGTATGTTAGGAAAGGGTCATTTTCTTGATAAATGCACAAGACAAACTAGACTACTTGAATCTATGCCTTGTCTAAACCCATACACAGCAAGCAGTCCTTAAAATATTCCCCCATCTCATCCTTTAATTATATGCTATAGTTACCTGGTTTTCTTTAGTACTTTTTCTGGTTTTAGAATGACAACTTCTTCCTCTTCGCTGTCAGATAGCACAACAGTGTCATCTTTAAAAAAAGAAAACAAAAAAAACATGTTGCTTTATACATGGCATTTTTGTGGATAAGCAGTTAGTACATTCCTAGAGAATTATTTAAAAGGTGGGAGATGCTTACTCTAAAGCTACAGTGACTGGTAAATAGTAAATACTTTCAGCTATAAGAACTGCATACTATTTCAACAGGGGGGCCAGTACAAAGCACTGAGACCACAAGGTAATTTGAATACATTTGTTTCCCTGGGATGATTTCTTTCTTACTGCTGAAGTGAACAGCCTCAAATATACTATAGTTAAAACAGGAGTGAGGTTTTCATTCATGTCACAACTGAAGAAGATACTAACCTTTCTTAGTCTTGCTCACAATGCTTACATCTTCCATTTCCATTTTTGGATCCTCCAAAGTGTCAGGATCATTGTCATCATCTTCCTCTTCCCCTCTCTCAGATTCTTCAAGTTCCCCCCAGGAGTTCTCTACCCGTTCTCCAATTTGGGCTGTTCCAGGGGTCCACAATATTGGTTCGGCAAAACTGAACTAGTTAAGACCAACTCCAGGAATTAAGACTCTTTCTATAAGACTCACTTATAAAAGCAGGCCAGACAATCCTTAAGCTTACCAGAAGACCAACATACAGATATATAAAGAATGTGTGCTGAACACCAAAGACAGTGTGAATATGATGGAGCAAAGTAGCGAATCAGCATGCTGGAAGTATCCCCAATGGCTAACTAAATAAAATGCTAAATTTATGCACTTTGGGGTAAACAAATGATTCCCTTTGCAGCTAATATCTATCCATCCATCAGAAATAGCTGGGAATGGAGCTGCTGCTTTTACCCTCTGTACTGCAAAAGCAACATGCTCCTCTAAGGATTTCAGGTTACCCTTGAGTGACACCCGCTTGCTAAAGCTTGGAAGAGAAGTGAATAACTATAAAGTGCTGCAAAGTCTCCTTAGTTGAAGAATAAGAGAAGTACTAGGGACAGTAATGAAAAAGAGAAGCAGAAAAAGTTCCGGAGAAAAAATTCTCATATCCTTTATAAGCAGATTACAAGACAAATTCCTTTACCTAAAGGCTTCTGCAGTTGCCATAATACAGTCTTCTAAGAAACGAAGAAGTCAGAATGTTGTGTGCGTTTCAAGAAGCTGCAAGTGAAAAGGCCACAACTGCTCACTATTACAAATGATACCATAAAAAGATACACATCCAAAGGAGGATCAGCCTTCGTGATGATTTCTTCAGCTTGCTCTTCCACATCATTAGCATCCACAGGAGCTCGTTCCATTTTGAATGCAGTAATCTTTTGATTTGGTATAGATTCTGCAAAGCCAAACTTTCCACCTTCCTTCCTACAACCATAACAATTTCAGTAAGTTTCACATTTAAAATTGTTATAAAAACTTCACTATGTACAGAGCTGTGACCTAAAACAGCAGGGTACAAAACCATTGCATAAAATGGTCACATTTTAGGCAATTAAATTTAACTACTATGTTCCCAGTTTTGGGGCTCAGGCATTCAGCCCTGAATTGGGAAGGTGGGTGTCAAGTCCTCCCTAGTGGTGTCACATTCAAAACAGCAGTGCTTTTACATGTGTGGCTATTTACTCTTAAATAGCTGAGATTCTCGTCTTCCAAAACCTCTGGTGGTACTACCAACTTGAGTCCCTACACATGGCTTGCGTACATGATAGAACCTATAGCTGAAACGGCTGTTTCAGTAAGGCTTTCTTGGCAGACCAAGCCACAGAAAACCGAAGCATTAATGACATGACTCATTTTGGTTACATAGTTTCTCCTTGAGAGAGAACGGGGAACCACAAAGTAATAACTTCTAATACATTGTATTATTTAAGCCTCACCTAACTTTCCGGTCATTCTCCAAGGCCTTCTGAATGAGTTCCGTGATCTCCACAACTTTAACACCAGTTATTTTACTGCATCTCAGAACCTGTGTGTAGTTTTTAATAATTTAATTAGTAATGACAGCTCAGCCTCATGAAATCAAGCCAGAAATAACTTTCTGCTTAATGAAAAACCTATTTGTTTCCAAATATGTAAAGTTTACTCTACTTTTGCACCCTGCTAGAAGCCAACACCTCAGCACTTGTGTCAGGATGTTCAAATAGTAGCCTCCTCAGCAACCTTTAAATTGGAAAGCAGCCATTTTCTTGATTAGGCATAAAGCATATTTCCTCTAGTACTGGGTTTACATAGAGTAGGTAAAGCTATATGGCAATTATTAAATTGGAAGTAGAACAAGCTGCCATTTTAAGAATGCAAAGGACTTTTATTACATTTGTCCTACTTAAACATCTCTCATACGTCGCACTTTGGAGTCTGCCATCAGTAAGCAATTTGTTATAGTCAAGAAGTAAAGTTTACTCTTCTGAAGACTTATAAAAGAACAATTAAAATATTCATAAACAGATCTCCCAACTATGCAAAACTCCATTCAAGCAACCAAGTTTGGAGACAATTGCAAACTTTCTTTTTTTTAAACTAGAAAAAGGGGGCAGGGGGCAGTGACTGGCAGGCAGCAAAAAAGTGGTGTTGTGGCTTCCACCACACTGATCGCAGATGAGTGAATTTACCTCGCACATAACACATTTTTGGTACAAAAAGGGTCATCGGATAAGAGTGAATTCACACATACTTCATGTTTCCCTTGCTTTATGTGGATTCTGTATGTCACACATGCACTAGGCTTCAGACAGAAAATCTAAATCACAGGAGATGCCATTTACCTGATCTTTTAACAGCATTATCCCTCCACTGGACTGGATAGTACAAATCTCACGATGTTTATTCATAGCTATTACTAGGAGACCATCCATTACACGTTCTTCGCGTTCACTGGGGTCCACCAATAAATAGGTCCTATAGCCATTATTAAACAGAATACACCAGTTAAAACTTCAGGCAAACTGGTCACTCTTAAGAGCAGAAGATTAATTACATCAAAACAAATCCCATGTTTTTCAACTAGTTATGTTATAGTGTGCAGTACAAACAAGAGCTCCTTTTTATGTCACCTCTTTTCAGATAAAAGGTTGTTTTCAAAACAGTTTCTTGAAGCAACTATTTAAAAAGAACATTTCTCTATTTATTCCAGTTCTTCAGGTTCCAGCATATTATTTGTCACTGTCCTAACTGCAACTTACCCTTGTTTGAAGAAGGCAAAGCTGACACAGATAGGCATGTGATGGATACTCAAGGGGACAGGATCACGTTCCTCAGGGGTATACTTTAAAGGAAAAAATGGTAATGAAGAATAAGAGCATGTAGTTAAGTAAAGAACAGATTAATTCAAAGGAATTATGTATTTTGGAGAACTAAGAGGTAAGAAAACTTTGGAGTTACTTAAACATCCAATAAATCTGTGTTCTTTTTCTGCATATTATTTTAATATGCCCTGTCAAAGTAGCTATCACCTTTACACCATTTGACCTACTAATTTGGTTGAGAAGTAAACTAATGCTAAAAAGTTACCACCCTTATCCAATAATTATTTATCTTCCTAAAAATTGAAAATAGTAAAACTCTGTACTAAATCTATTGATAAACACAAGTGTCCTCTCCTATCACTGGATGCTTGAAATAGCTCTGAGCTTCTGTAGCTGAAATAATTTAAAATCTCAGATATAGTTGCTTCTGACAAGGAAGACCTATTTTTTAAATCTTAACAATCCTAGCACATTACCTCTATCCTATTGTAACTTACCACAGTAATCTCCTCTCCTTGCACAGATACATCTGGCCTACGGAAGTGACACAAGGCCACTATTGCTGCTATACTTGCAGTATCAATAATGTTTCCATCATGATTCAACAAATGCAGGTCCACACGAATCTGCCACACCTGAGAGAAAGAACATCCATAACTACAACTCACTAAATCAGGGGTGTCACACTCATCTGGGACTGCAGGCTGGATGAGTGGCATGGGACCAGTCCACAGGCTGGACTGGGCCCACGGACCCAGTGGGTAGAAGCCTGGCATCTTGGGTGCTTGATGGCTACTGCAGGAACAAGTCCCAGTGCCGGGCTTCTTCCCGTAATACTGCTGGGGCTCCAGCACTGTGGTTCTTACTCAGACACTTGGCTACCACAGGTGGAAAAATCCACAGTGCTACCAGAGAGCCAGCACTCCGGATCTTGCCCAGGCATCGCCCCCTGCTCCCCCAATCAAGGCTGCGAGGCAGGCTATATATTTGACACTGCTATAACTGTAGCGTAAGCGACCACTTGTACATATTTTCCAAACCCTTTTCAAAAAGGCATGCAAGTGAAGTACAACACAAGTACTGATCAAACCTATAATAAGTGGCTCAACATATCAAATGAGAAACGGCATGTTAGTTTTCCATATTGGGCAACATGCTATTAGTAAGTAAAAAGTTAAGTATTCTGTTCCTACAAACATTTACTAGTACATGGGCCCACTGACTACATGCTTACAGCTACATATGCACAAGTCACTTGGGCTAGAGCTTTAAAACAAAACACAGGAACTACTGTTCTTCAAGAGACAACAGACACCAAATCCTATATGCAACCTGTTAACCCCTAATGTTAAAAAGCTTTGGATTTCAGAGTATGTCATACCTTTTCACCAGCAACAACACAAAGAGATTCAGTATCTATGCACTTTGAGTTTCTTAGGCATCTTTCTAATAGCCTATTCAGCTTCACCAGCAATTCAGACTGCCTGTAGAAGACATAATGTGCACATGTTTAAGTTGTGAGTTATTAATAAGGGAGAACAATGACACCATGGTCATCCTTATATCAATCCTACCTGCTGTCACTGCAGCAAAAGCCACGTACCTGCCAGGCTCAAAAGCTGGTGAAGCCATTGGAGAGAGCTCAAGATTAAAGAAAAGTATACCTTCTGTAGCTCGGTTTGGCTTTGGGGCAACAAGTTCACATGAGACTTGTCCAAGGACCCTGCAAAAGAAAATCACCCCCAAAAGCACAGGCTTCAGAAAGAAGACAGAAAGAAGTTAAACACTGCACAACATACATGAGTTGTATTTTGCACCTCCCAATTTTTGCAGCTTATTTTTCGGCAAGACATAGCTAAATGTATTCAAGGTAACCACTACTACAGCACCAACAGAAACTAGGCAGTAGAGTGCTATGTGGAGTTTAAAGTGTAGCTTTTATTCTCACTGTGGCCTAGAAGAATTTACCAAATTTTGTATCTTTCATCTCCACCCCCCGTGTGAAAAATTGAGATACCATCTATAGGGGACTGCAAAGCTCCATTTGAGATTACTGTACAAAGTCACAAGTAGGATATTAGATATCCATGGTTATATTAACACTTGTTTACACACTGCTTGCTTTATGACTAAATACACTGTGAAACCCCATATACCCATGAAGGGTCTGTAACTGCTAGCTTCAATCCTGTAAACTCTCATGTACTGGTTTAACTTGGTATTGGCACTACTGCTGAGGTTTGCATTATTACACACTGGACTTTTTGGGGGGAGACATGATGTTTATATCCAATAACACTACAGCCCGTTTAGTAAGGATTAAGTGGCCAACATAGGGTACCAGTACCCGTTGCCAGCTGAAACAAAGAAATGTAAATCAAACCAATTGGAAATCATTTATTAGATTATTACAACCAGCCACCTGTAAATCTTGGTCACACGCTGGAGGGAAATTTGGAGAACTCAGCAAATTCAAAAAGACCTGCTGCCAATCTGTTTGCCACCCTCTTCCTGCCTCTTACATCTCCCCAGTTGGTATAGGTGAGACTCTACACTGTGCTGCCCTGGGTAGCCAGGCAGACTTTGGGATAAACATTTGCTTTTGCATTTTCAAGTGCAATCTAATGCAAGTCTCCAGGCTGACCATTTTTCTGCTTCTTTTAGCAGCAGTCTATCCACAAGGCTACTTGTAACTTGGGTAACATACCCTCGCTCCCTCTTATGTTGCCAAGTGCTGTCTCCAAGGGTTCCTATACATGTGTGCAGAACCTGCTCCAATGCACTGGAAATCCAGCACATCAGAGCAGGCTCGATCAATCGAGTCTGCTGCAGCGTGGTAACTGACACACTCCAGCAGCTTTCTGAGTCACGTGCATCAGCGTCGCCACGTGTCTCCACACTAAAAAATGGTGGCGGGGTGCTCTGAAATAAAACATGCTCAATAAGCTCTATTTCAAAGTGCCCATCTGCCATTCTTTCAGCACAGGGACATTGATACACATGACATGCAGGTGCTTTTAATTGGAGCAGCTTGCTAATTAAAGTGCCTGGCACTGCATCCCACAGCACATGTAAAAATGCCCTGACAACTCAGATATGACAGGGTTGTGTTTCCCCACCACGTACTCCTCAGAGGAACCAGGAGTTGGCTGCAGATATGGCTGAGGTCTGAGACTGGAGTGCGCTAGCACTCCTGCTGGGACTTAAAGCCAGCAGTTCCTAGCTAGAGGGGCTCATCCCTCTGCTCAAGGTCAGACTGACTGATGTATTTGGGGTCAAGAAAGAATTTCCCCCCAGGGTCGGGCTAGTATGGATGATGGGGCCTTCTGCCTTCATCTGTAGCAGGGCTTCTCCAGGGGATCTCCCAACACATGTTAACCACCTCAGCCACAGCAGGATGCTGCCCACTGCATCCCCTGTGCCGTGCCAATGGCTTGGGTCCTGCTGTGCTAAGAGGCTGGACAATGGATGGTTTGGTCACAGCCAGTGTCTTAAATATGAAATTATCATATTGGAAGCTCAAAATTATCGTATTTGCAGAACAAATATTCTACACCGAAAAAACATGTGAATAAGCATGCAAATAATTCTTATTTACTTTATATTGCTCACCATAACTCAGCACTAAGTGAGAACTGGGTCCAAGTTGCAGCATTTCTTTATTTCAAGGCAGGCAGACATAAGGAAGTGCTGACAGCAAACCCAAAAGTCAGTCAAGACTCCCTGAGAGTGACTTGGGTTTCACATATCCTGCATCAATGAGCTGCCTTAAAAATCATTGTACATTTTGAACACTTTTACTACTCTCGACTGTACATGGTAAGAGGGCTGAAAGGATAATACGAACCGGGCAACACTAAGCAGAACCCGTCCTGCTACAGACAGGTGTACGGGCTGCAGCTGCCCTCAAGAACCCCCTCGCAGCGCTGCGCGCATGCGCACTACCAGGCAGGAGCGCCCGAAGCACCGCGCATGCGCCCCCCGTGCTCCCAGGTAAGAGCAACTACGCAAGGCCCTGCAAGCGCGGCTCCAGTCAGAGGGAGACGGCGTACAGCCCCAATTGCTCTAGCCTCGCGCGCTCGACTGTGCATGCGCCTTCTTCTGCCTCCCGGAGCTCGACGCTACCTGGTCTTCCCCAGCTCCACGACGCAGCAGCCATAGTCGGCGCCGAAAGAGACGCGCACATTGCGGTAGTCGTAGCTCTGCCGCCCGTCCAGGCGCTGCAAGGCCGAGAGCGGAGTCAGCGGGGAGGGGAAGAGAAAGAGAAAAGGGGGGGAGGATGGGAAAACGCGGGGGCTGGTCTCGCACCTTCTTCTCCTCGATGGCGCGCAGCAAGAAGCGCTTCTCGCAGTTCGACAGCGGCGTCTCCTTCATGGTGGCGCGAGCTGCTAGGCTCACAGTCGCACCCTGGTGACGTCATCAGCCGCGCTTTAGGCGCCACTGCGCAGGCGCCAGCAGGGCCCGCGCATTCCTTTTGGCTGGGCGGGGGGTGGTGGCAGCGCCGCCGCGTTTAAAAGCACGGGAGACGTTTGACCCTCCCACTGAGTGGTAGAGGGGGTGACTCCAAGGGCCGTGTGCACGCCCCTCCCCGGCTGGGGAGCGGGGTCTGTGGGCGAGGGGCTTGTTCAGAAGGAGAGTAGCAAAACGTTGGCGGAGGTGGTGGACTCTGCATCCTCGGAGGTTTTGAAGACCTGGCTCGACAAAGCCCTGGCTCAAGATGATCTAGTTGGGGATGGTCCTGCTTCGAGAAGGGGTTTGGGCTCAGTGCCTTCCTGAGGTCCTTTCTAACCAGCATTTTCTATGATGACCAAAAAAATGTGATACTTGCTGTCCTGATGTGTGCATGCCTCCGCCTGTGGCATTGTACTAGTGAGGAGAAATGGGCTATCCCTGTCCAGGGCAGCTCTCTGCCTGTTCACATTCCCTGTTCACATACCAGGTTTAACTCTTGAGTGTTAATTCAGGAGTCAGGTCTCCAGGTTGTAGCCATATTGGTCTAGAGGAAAAGGCAATCGGGACTACTAGAGGTGATATCTTTTGTCAGACCAACAAGAAGTTTGCAACAACAAAAAAATATTTAATTGCAAGCTTTTGAACACAAACGGCCTCATCAGGCATTAGAGAAGATTGTAAAAGTTCTCCTGGGTAGAGATGAAAGTTCATATTTCATAGGATTTCAGAGAGGAGTCAATAGATGGAAAACTCCTCTGGGCAGTCAGTTCATTGCAGGCTTTAGCACTTGAAAAATACATATGTGTGGGGGGAAAAAGGACCTGTTACTGTTTTGGGTTTATAGTTAATTAGTTATAAACCCAAAACAGTTGAGTTTATTAATACTCCATTAATACCCTTATCCTTGTACTGCTAAAATAATCTGTTTAAAACAATAGGAGCTGCTCCACCTGCATAATTGCACAGACCCGTGGTGTCTCTCAGTAGTACAGATGTACCGGTAAAGATATTTTTGGCCAATGCCAATTATTTACCAGCCGTATCAGCTGATACTGATCTGATAGCCAATATAGCCTGGCAGCTTGGAGAGCAGCATCTGACCAGTAAGTCTAGGGGGGTGGGGAACGGCTGTGTGGAGACAGATGAAGGCCCCTACAGTGAGGGAGGAAGTGGGGCAGGGCCTGAGGCAGGTGCTGCTTGGCCAGGGTGGGGCACAAGATGGAGCCACAGGCTTATCCAGGCAGGAGAGCAGCTCCCACCACTATTCACACCCTCAGAAGAAGGATGGGGGGCATGTCCACCCCAAAATTCCCTGTAGCCCCCCTCCCAGTGCCACCATTACCTGCCTTGCCCCTGCCCACCCTGACCACAGCTCTAGCCTAGCCCCCTCCACTGGGAATTGGCTGGCACAGCCCCCAGCCTCAGTCCTGCAGCAGGCATCCTGCCCTCAACCCGCACACAAATCCAGGAGGCATATGCCCCCTATACCTCCCCCAGGACTGCACGCAGCAGTAAGACCTGCACCCCCTGGATGAGCTGCCCATGGCTCTGTCCTGCGTCCTGCCCAAGCTGGGAAGTACCTGCCCCTGCCCTATTCCCTCTCTTGCCATGGGGGCCTCAATCTGCCTATGCCCCTTCCCCCACAGACTTACCAGCTGGATGCTACTCTCCAACCTGCCAGGCTGCATTCTTGACCATTTGCATGTGTGCAGCTGCACGAATGCACGGGGCATTTATCGGTGACATCAGCCAAAAAACTCATTGCCGATAACGTCAATTTTCCTTTTATCAGTGCTGATACAGTATAAACCGATACATCAGTGCACCTCTACTCACTAACATAAATGTAAGTAGGTAACACCAGGCTACTGTATCTTTTTCACATACAGCTCACCCTCATATATAGTATTCACCTATGAAGGGGAACCTGAAGAAGAAAAATTTGTTGGAAGAGGTAAGAGTGGCAGCAGCTTGGGAGCTGGGACTGCTGCCAGCCCTGCATGCTGGTTGGGTCTGTGGATCTTGGGCGGCAAGTCCAATTCCACATGCTTGCTAGAGCTAGAACACAGTCCCAGGCAGTGCATGGGGTCAGACTTGATGTGTGGCCCTGGAGCCAGCATATGGCTTCAGACCCAGTATGGGGACTTGGCATACTGGGTCCATTCTGGTACATGGTTCTGGAACCAGCGCACAGGGTCAGATCTGGCATGCTGCGTCTGGGCCTATGTGCTGGGTTGGATCTGGTGTACCAAGTCTGGCTGCATACCAACCCCAAGTGCCTGCCTGATCTTATGTGTGGTTGGAGAGGGAAGTTCCTTGTGGGTCTGGAAATTTTATAGTGTGGGGAGGTAGCGGTGGGAGGTTCCCAACATTCTACCTCCCCTTCTCCAAATTTCCAAGCCCGTGGGCATCCCTTTTCTTTGTATGTAAGGTGCACCCCAGTTTTCCTCAGCTGTTTTTTTTGGGGGGAGGGGTAGGTTATATGCAAGAAAATATGGTATTTTCCTACAGAAGCAAGTATCTGTAAATTAGCAGGTGGAGTTGCACCTTATACATGCGTATTTCTAAATTAGTTGTCTATGTGGTGCAACTCTGCCCTGCCTTCTGTCTGACTTCAGACTAACACAGCTAACAATCTCTCTTTAACTGCTAGTTAGTTCAGATCTTTTACTGCAGAGCTGTGGTATTTTTTTGTTATGGGCATTTATAATGGTTTTTGGTCCCTCTCTTTAGATTGAGGCTGCTACCCTAAGTTTGTATTCTTGTTTAAAGGCCAGCAGTATACATGCACCTGTTTGCCTTTGGAAATTTACGACTTGCCTTCCTTTCTCATTAGCAAATAAAGCAAGTGTTCCTGGCATTTTTTTTTTTCCTCCCTTGCTGCTCCTTTTTCCTGTATGTGAATAACATTTACTTGACAACAGCTGCTTTGGAGAAACGTTTGAAAGTGCTA